TCTAACTCTTTCTTTCTCAGTCTTTAGTTGTTCTTGCCATTTTGTATTGAGCCGAAGGAGATTAGGTGTAGCCGAAACGAACGGCACAATTTGTTGATCCATACCACCAACAGCTTCATTAAAAAGATGACGAGTATGTGCTATAATAAATTCTTATCGTTATTTTCTATCATATTGACAATATATTAATACAATACTTACATTGTATATCAGAAAATCGTCCAACGTTTTCAACCACTTGAATAGTTTCTTCAATGTATTTGCTTTCTGTTGACTTTTTCATGGAATTCATCGCAGTCGTAGTATATTCGTCTAAACTACCGAGTAACTCAAGTAAATCTTCATTGTCGTCGATTGCATCGTCACCATAAATATCTTGATTTGGTGGTAAAAATACAGGATCAATCACATCATCATCAGTTTGAGCTTCGGCAATAACTTGAAGTAAATGTTCATCACGATCCTTTTTGCATTCATGTAAAAGTTGAATATTTTCTATGATTGTCATCGAATATGTGGATATAAGATGCTGTTGAGATTTAAATGCATCTTCCCATGTCTGTTCGATGGTACAAAGATCAGCTACGGAACGCCAGGGCACAAAAAGTGTTAGAAGAGCTCGACAGTACCGTTCTCGTGTGTCATCACGATCTTGTCGAGGAATTTGAGGACCATAAAGAATAGGTACACGAGATTGAGTATATTTCATCATAACATATGTTGTCGCCTGTGGATGCTGTTTCTGAAAAGAATAGCGTTCATTAGGACGTCGACCTTTTCGATTATCGTTTTGTTTTTTAGGTACTACAATGTCCGATAAATATCTCAAATCTGCTGCATTCATCTTCTTCTTGTATAAGATACTGACAAAATCATATAGACATATGTTGTTCAGAATTTCTGACCGATATTGATAATCAATTCGTGTATTAACAAGCACATGTTTTTCGTCATTTTCGGATACTTGAATTTGGAACTGTTCTTCATCATTATTTTGATCGTCAATAGCTTC